AGAGAACTGGATTCCGCCCGTGCAGGCGTAGGGGTTATAGAAGGCGAGCGTCCGTTTCGCGCGTTCGTAGAAACTAGGTCATCCGCCTGCTTTGCGCGGCGCAGTCCACTGCGATCTTGAGGTGACGTTGCAGTACCACACAGGGGAGGCGGCCGTTTGGCGCGATGGGCGAGGTCGCGCCGCCCATTTGAGGCGGTTTGCGGGTTGGAGAACTCGTTCAGATCGGGCTACCATTTGTCTATCCTCTCCAGCTGATAGAAGCGTGATCAATGAGGCCGCTACTATTAGATGCCGAATTGCTGACCTGCTTGTATTCTGCCTGCATACATCATCTATTTGGCGCTTTTGCGTGATGTTTCACTGCTTATTGTTGTAACTTGACAGTATCTATGGAGAAAGGGGATTGTGAAAGCACAAAAAGCAATAAAAACACGCAAGTAGATGATGATTGTAGGCAAAATACACGCAGGTCCGCAATGCGGCGTCTAATAGTAGCGGCCTCATTGATCGCGCTTCTATTAGCTGAAGAGGACAGTCAGAGGGTTGCGCGATCTGAACGAGTTGTCCACCCAGCAAACCGCCTCAAATGTTCGGCGCGATCCCGCCCATCGCGCCAAACGACGTACACCCACCACACAGTGTTAGTGGAGCGAATGATTTTCATTAATTCGTGTTATCTTCTCTTGAGGCTGGCTACCGTGGACCAAGTGCAAATCGTATGCCCCACTGACAACTGCGACGTCTGTCGAAAATCGCGGGCTGACGCGCCGCAATCAAAGGTTGCGGCGTGATCGGCCGCTTTCATAATCCGCGATTTGGCCGGCGAGCGCGCGGGCGACGGGGGAACTACTCGTCCGGCGGTATTCACTAAGAATAAGTTGTTAATAAGAGGCAAGCGCCGCCTTGGTCGCTCGCTCGCGCCCTTGCGGGCCAAACGCGGACTACGAAAGCCAACCACCTAGTTTTGAAGGACGCGCGGAACGAAGCGCATCCGTTTGGAGGGAGCTTACCATGCGTGAATTGAGCCTAACTTGAAGGAAAACACTCAGTAAAATAAAAATAAGAAAGGAACGAAACTCGTTACATGAACACACAGGACTTGAGCAGGACTTCGCTCATGGTATTCAGGACGCGCACGAAGGTGTCGGTATGTGTGTTTCGCTGGATATCAATAGCTCCGTTCTCTTTGATTGGAACTTTCAAACTTGGGAGAATACAGGCGGCGGGAAACTTCAACACGAGAAGGATGAGAGCCAGGCGTCTGCCGAGCGACCCGAGTGGTTGCTATATTAGGGTGTCCGCAAAGTTTTGAGAGAATTTTGTTTCTCAACTTTGAAAACGTGTTACTCGTGAACTCTTTAAAGAGAACTGTAGCTTCGATAGCAGGGAGAAGGGCATTGTTGATAGGTCAATACTATGACTAATCGGTAGTTGACATGGTCGGTCGAAGTAAGTAATCGTCGACCGAACGATGTATCGATACGACCACCGGAGGTTTCCATTACGAAATTAATCGCTTCGACACTGAGACTTGCAAAAAGATATGGTGACTGACGAGCGGCAGTGTGCCCCCTCTTGTCGCCTACCATGAATGGACTATGGCTTCCTCTAGAAAGAAATTTGCTTCGACGAAGTTTGTCTAAGCGAACGTCCACTTTCCTTATATACCGACACTGTTGTGGCCTCCAGTTAGAGCAGTCCTCAAAGCCTCAGAAAATGGAGGAGGCGATCTCTATTCCCTAATCCATCATTCACGACGTTCTAGGCAAGAGTCACTTTCGAAGCAAGATCCTTTGCAAATATAGGCGCTCCTTGACTGAGCAGGAGCGTCGGGTGCGAGTCAGTGTGCGTTAGAAGCTCCTAGACTGTAAGCGACCGACGTCATCATTTGACTTCATTATTCCATTTTACACCGATTACATTGAAGTTTTCACTTGTGGCGTGATAGTGCTCGACCACCCCACGCGAGGACGTCGATGGGTGGACTGGAAAGACGGTATAACCTGGCTACACCGATCCCCACATATTCATCTGACCTTAGCCCATATGGCTGTCATACCTTCTTATGTTCGTAAGCCTACTCTACAGGGAAAAAATTCAGCAATTTCCGAGAAGTCAAGTAGGTTTTGATGAATGAATTACGTCACGTCTCTCTTCATAACGAAGAAATGGCTTCAATGTCCTGTCTGGTTGGTGCAGAGGCATTGTGGCTAAGAAGGGCCACTACCTTGATTAGTGATCTGAGTTTATTATTCAGTCATTTTGTATTGGAAAAACTTGCTGAATTTTCACGATACTTTCCGGACACCCTAATACTTCATTCAGGGTGGAGGGGATGTAGTTGCTAATTACGCACTATCTCACACACATGGTCACGGATTTGAACCTGCGATGGATATCCGCCTAGGCCAACCAAACATTTCATCCGTCCGAGGCCAATTAATGGGTACCGGACTCGTCTGGAGGATAGAAGAAACTGACTTGTATCGGCTGGCCATCACAAGTCTTTGTATAGGCCATGGAATTTGAATGCGGAAACAAATTCCCTAGACGGGATTGCATACATACAGCCAGTCATTTACAACATAGAGCACATCTAGTCGAGTCAAACTAAATAGAAGTATTGGCGAATCTGGAGAGTGGCGGGAAACTTGAAAAAAAGGGACATTGTTCATATTCCGAGGCGACAAAGTGTTATCATGTAATCAGTCTCAGATGGACGCACATCTCATCTTTTGCATCAATTTTCGATTTGATGCGGTTTACTTCCATGGTTTTCCTTTTTCGGGGCCGTACCGAATTCACTGCGTATCCCTATTGATACAGCCACCCGTGAGTTTCCACAAAACTCAGGTTCTAGGGCACTTCAGGAAAAGGATTGATGTGGAAATTGTGCCCTATTCGAACTTATAACTTGTAGAGCAGCAACGAGTTCATCTCAATAACATGAACAATTTTTACGTCATTTTTTCGGAAAAGATCACTTTGCCTATGTTGCCAAATGATACAGCCCCGGACCGAATCAATTTATTCGGTAGCTTAATGATAGCAGAGAGGAGATGTTGCGTGGTTATTAACTAATTGAGTTCCCATTTTTCTTCAAACTACCAGAGAAATACGGCTGTCTAAGCAAAAATAAAGGCTGCCTATGGGTTCCTGGTCAATTTGGTGCCACAAGCAATGACGATTGCTTTCTTCAGCTCACTGATACCTAGAACTACTTGTTTCCTTCATGAATCTTCCTGACTATAAGTCCCCATACTTTTTCCATTATACTCAACTCAGGGCTGTTAACGAGCCAGGGCAAAAGGTCGATTTGGTGCCGACCAAAACACGCCTGACAATGAGTGCTCCGGCTGACGTGAATAGGGTCACCATCTCGCACGAATACGGGGTACTTCTGCCAACTCTGACGACAGAAAGGAAGAAAAGCTCGGCGCAGTACGAATTGATAACCAGAACAATTGAGCTCATTTGGAACAAAACATAAATAAAGGTGTTTACGAGAAGAGATTGCTGCCCATACCATGACTCCTCTTCCCTAGAAAATTTGTCCGGCTAAGTAAAGCTTAACTTTCCTCAGATTGTGCCAGTGGAATTGGTTGCCAATCGGAAGATTAAACAAACATTTTTAGTTAGAAAAACAACCTGTAAAACGAATCATCAAGAGAAGAAGGAGTAAACGACAAGCCATAAAAAGGCATTTTACTCCGATCGCTTCGGATACAATTCATGGCGGAAGAAACCCGATTATCGCGATTTTCGGTCGTAACGAGTGCCTCCCCTATTCTCCGCTAACGACAAGCCCAGACTTACCTATCACGTTCCAAACAGTAATCCTAGAGACACTGACACGCTTCAAAAAGGACCCGATATTTGGGTATGGCTTAGTCGTATTCGGCGCTTCTCTCGAAATTCGTCGCTTGTCTTTCCCAAAAGTAAAGAAGAACGTCCCGTACTCATTTTGGTCCCATGCTCTGTAGGATTTCTGGAGGAGTTTCCGACAATGACCCAAATCGAGCGATTCCACGATTTGGCAGTCCCAGCACCCTCTTTTGGTGAATTTGACTTTTCTCGAAATCGGATGGCAACTTTCCTCTACTCATTACTTTAAATTGAAAAACATCACACAAATGAAGCAATTATGTAAGGTGTGAATGGAACGCGAAGGGAAAATATGAACCGGTTGAACCATTTGCCAACACAGGCGAATTGACCTTTCCCGAAATAAACATCTAGCTGCTGTATTAGTGTCTTTGTATGTGCGGGAGGTTCATTATTTTTAGCTGCTTATAAGAAGATTGTCTTGATTTCGGAGCCGCCGTGCACAGTCGCACACGCTCCAAAATCACGAAGAGCTGCTGTGCAGTCGGTACTTGCAAACAGCCTTTGAGTTTCCTGGCACTGGAATGTGCATATAACTCACAAATTTTGCGTGAATGTAAAGAATAAAATGAAATAAGTCTTCGGCGTTTTTCGAGTCTCTCTTTTAATAGAGCCCGCATCCCATTCCCTTCCAGAGTGACGTTTTAAATGCGTATATGGCCTATACAAAGATGCGGTGTCTAGCCGAAGTGCAGGTCAGTGCCTACACGAATGAGTGTGGTACCGATAAACGCACTCACTCGGGTGAAGAAATGCACAAACTTGGACTACCGAAGGCTTGGTTGGTCTGAGCAAAAATTGATGCGGGATTCGACTCTGGACTACACGTGTAGGAAGGTGCCTCAGCCGCCATCAGACCCCCTCCACCCCGTCATGAGTATGGAATGTATAGATACTTGTACTTATACGGCTCGTCTTCACTCATGTGCGAGCACCAGCAAAAAACCATTCGCTTCTGTCTTTCGCGATTACCATCCACGGTAGACTCAGGATCCGACGAAGATGGCGATGTGAGGAGTCGTTCAGCTGCTGTCGCAGCTGTTTCACGTGATCGACAAGCACAACCCCCATCTCGCAGCAGACCTAGCCTTAGATCGTGAACATCCTATGGGAGCCTACTCGACTGTTCTTCTTGTCCATCTGTCATCATCTCTTCTCATTATATGACCGGTCCACCGAAATTTTGCGTTCTTCGTGTATTCCACCGGATCGCGGAATCGAGACATTCTGCGCATATCGGAGCTGCGGAGTCCAGCTCGATATTGCGTGACTCGGTTGAACCTCAAAATACATCGCTCGAGCGCTCTGTGACTTGTGCTCAGAGCCCTTGACGTGCATGCACTGGTCACGCAAGTCTCTGTCCCGTAGCAGAGCGCAGGAAGAACTGTGGAATCGAACAGATTAGCGTGACGTTCCGGGTCAGCCAGATGGTTGGTAACCTCTTTCAGAGGTCCGAAGGCTACCTGCGCTGCTTTCTGCCGTCTCACCAGTTCTTCCCTCATGTCGTTTTCCATATTCATGGAGCGCCCGAGATAAACGTATGACGAGGTTTCATCAGCTAGTATTCTTATGTAGGGAGGGTCCACTCCTTGATCGACCAGTGCAGACAGAACCGCATACGTTTCGACGCTGTCAAAAGCTTTTTCATAGTCGACAAAGGCATTCGGAATTCTCGGCACACTTCGATGACCATTGCGACCGCTTGCATGTGGTCTTAACAACTGAATCCCTTCCGGAATCCGGCCTGCTCTACAGGTTGAGCTTCGTCCAGCGTTCGCGATGTGCGAGTTAGAATGATTTTCGTGAATAGCTTGTGAAACACACTTAACAAACTTATTGGGCGGTAATTGCGAAGATCATCGCGGTCTTTCTTCTTGTGAAGAATGACCATCCGCGAGTTCCTTCACTGGTTGGGGATCTTCTCCTTCTGGAGGTAGAATTCATATGTGTTGCGAGAAGCGCATGAAGTTCGTAGCCTCCTGCACGGAGTAGGTCGGCTGAGATCTTGTCGGGGNTGGCAACTCTCACCTCCGAAGGAAGGATTCGAGGTGCTGTTCCGCCAGTGGGGATTTTAGGTTTTCACACGTGTGTCGTGGATCGGTACAAGTTGGTATAAAACCTCCGTGTAACTTCCTCCATCTCAAATCTTGATGTTGTACTTGTTCCGTCCTCCTTCTTCAAACACGAAAGTGGAATACTGTGGTCCTGAGGATCCCGATGACATTTTCTCAGACAGTTCTGTTCAAGGCTGCCCCCAGTAGTCTCCTCTCCCTGTATAGCTGAAGGTCTCTTCGCACTGCTTGTCCACAGTTGATATTCGCTCGCAGCCTTTCGAGATGTGTGGCGTTCTGGTCAAGCCTCGAGCTTCTTCTGAAAGCTTATTCTGAAAAGATCCTTCGTCGCATCTGAAAGGTGCGCGGAGGTATCCACTCGCGGAATCTTAGCCTGTTCAGCACAAGTGAGGAGTCTTCGGTCGGGTCATCCAGGACCTGCCGGTCATATCGGGATAAGACGTCATTTAGAACATCTCTATCGTATACAACATGCCTCTAGCTCTTCGCGCGATGTTGAGAGATCTTTTCCAGCTTGTGACTGAATCTGATCTTAGCGTGGAGTTGATGATCGGAACCACTGCAAAAAGATGGTACCACACCAACATCTAGTAAGCACCACTTTCTGTTTGTTAATATGTGGTCCAGTTCAGCATGAGTTGTACCGTTTGGAGTCTCCCATGTCCAGCGGCGATGTTCCTTCTTCTGGAAGAAAGAATTTTCATGGAAGAGTCGAGCCGCAGAGAGAGTCCCGCTAGACGGCTTCCGTTTTTTGTCTTGTTTGTTTTGTCTTTCCTGTCCCCCATCCCGAACCTTGTAATCCTGAACTCCTCCTCTTGTGCTTCGCCAAGCTTAGTGTTGAAATCTCCAACAACGAATTTGTAGAGGGACTTTTCGTTGTGGATGATTTCTTCAAATTGGTCGTAAGACGCATCAAGCTCTACTTCGTTAGCTGCCGTGTGGGGAGTATCAGTTGACGATAGAGATGGTCTTCATGTCGTAGGCATAGGATGGCAAAGCGAGGAGACAGGATCTCGTGAGAATCGGCAATATGGACGACAGATGGGTGCACGACGAAACCAACGCCGCTGACGTTTCAGGACGGAAGTTTTTACCGCGAATGATGAGGGTTCCGTCGTACGTCGGTTCTCCTGCTCTTGGTTTCTTGCAGCGCAATCACATGATATTAAATGTGAGTAGCCGCGTCGAGGAGTTCTTGGACAGCGGCATTGGAAGAGACTGTTCTCGCGTTGTAGGTATAGAGTAGGAAACAGTCTCTGTTTCGTGTGAATGGAGTGCTGTCATAGTCCAAAATCAAAGGCGCCCTCCGCAACCCGAGATTTCTTCGCCTCTCACCGGTCGCCATACCGTTCGACGCCGGAGACGGCTGGGTCCAGTGCGCGGGGTTCTAAGGCTGTTTTATTGCTGTTTTAGCAAGCCTGCCTCCCTGTAGTCTCAACACTACCTTGAGGGCCAGTACTGTGTCTCCACCATCGTGACTATAGCCATTTTGGATCAGAGGGAGCTGAAGCCTACGCATAGCCATTCAGACATGCAGACGTGCCGTTGGACTATTAGTTATATATAGGTACTTATATAAATGGTAACTGAAAAATGATGAAGGCACCAACGAAAAACTCCGTCGAGCAGTAGAAAATTCAGGCGAGAGTTTTCGGACCATACAAGCCGACATCTGATGGTAGTGAAGAGAGCATGTGGCAGGGCGACAGGACGCCGTCCTTTTGGTAGGCGGATACTTCCCCGAGCGAGTCCTGGTCCTTGATACAGAACGCGATGACTTAGACGTAACGTACCGGGGCTTGCTGTGCGCAACTTAACGCGTGAAGAACGAATTCAACCGCGACCTCGGGCGGACGGACAAGGGCGACTCAAGCAAGGGGGCCGCCATCCCTCTAGCTCTTCGCACTTCTACCTGACCACCGCTTCGAACGCGAAGCGGCAAGTTGGTCAAGATAAACCCCAGCATGACTGAAGAGTACCGGAGCTTTGCATTAGAGTTTGTGATGAAATACTAAAAAATCAGAAAAAAACAGGAATATTATTGTTACATAAACAAAACTTTTAAAAATTGGACACGCCTACAAGCCTAAACGCCACCCTCCCACCACGTTGAGGTGGTAGACCGTCGGGCGGGGGGAATGTACATATAAATATGCAAAGAAATTCTCGGTAGGAAAGGGATCACCTCGAATATCAAAAGGTGGCAGGATGGTATGAAATCCAGTTGGAAGGTATTTCTAGCTTGAGGAAAAAATCTTGCAGAATCCACAAAATTCACATCTACAAAACCTGCATACATGGTCTCGAGCACATGGGGTGTCCATGCCTCTTTATTGGTTGGCCTGCGTAGGGTTGTTACCTAGAATCATAGCTGCGTTCGGAGAATTGCTCCTTGAATTCGGAAACCATATTTGAGAGTAACGTGCGAGAACGCGCTCAAGAATAAGAATCTCTTTCTAAACAACCATTTTGACTTGGGATCCTTCCCTGGTTTGTTAGATCACTGAAAACATGAGAATGCAATCATTATGCGCTTATAGAGCGCATAATGAGAGCTGCCATCAGGCTTTCCACCACTTGCCCAGGCAAAATTTTTGTGCATGTGCCCAAGTCTCTACATCCTTTATTCTTCTTTATTCTTGAAGTATAGTTTAATTTATATTTAATCTGCAGCATCGTGTCAACATTGGGGAAATGATGGATCCGCCTAGTAAAAAAAGGAAGAATCTAGATTTCCTGACGCATCCATGTTTGGGACCGTTCCTCGAAAAGTATCGAAATCTCGATAACAAAGTAAGAGCCAGTTCTCCGCGTTAGTAGTCTTGACATTTCAAAAAAAACTGCTCTTTACAGGTTGAAGAGGGATTAGCAATATGTACTGTTCGTCTGAGAGAACTTGTCGCTCACGCAGACGAGTGGCATCCGGCTGTAATTAAAAAAGAACTCGATGAGATTAAGGTATGCTATCTATCTGACCACGTAATAAAACAAGGGAAAGGGAGGTCTTAGTAAATGCAAAAAAACTTTGATATATTGTGACGGTTGCCTATCTACAGTTAGGTAACTCTCAGCGGACTGGTCATTTTACAGTAGTTTCATCTTTGGGCGCGGAATGCGAAATGGATTGGATAGGCTTTTCACGGTTAGGCGGGCAGTTGCGGGTTTTGTGCAGTCGATTCGTCGCATGCGGCAGTTGCGAACGAGTTGCTTCGTTATTGCAGTTCTAGCGCCTTTCAAACAGCTCGATGAATATGCTATTAATGTTTTGAGGATGCATGATTATACCACTTCTTTTCTTCTGTTCCGCCATTGCTTGCCCGTTGCGCTGCTTCTGCTTAATTCTGCTGCATCTTTTCGCGCACGACGTTGCTCTCGCCGCGAAGCGACCATTTCGATTCAACTGTACCTCACCACCATACACGTAGCTTGATTCCTCCCCCGGATCCATGGTTCCGTAGCTCAGTAGTGAACTTCTGCTGGAACTTCTAAGGGGAGTTTTTCTATGTATCTGACTGAATTGTCCGCGCTCCTTATGTTTCTTAATGTGCCTTATGTGGGGTCTGCCGTGTTCTCCCTGAACGGCGTGTCGCACTCGCCGCACGCAATCGCGCGCTATGGAGGGAAAGATTCGAGTTTCCAATGGAGGGATACGGAGAGTCGCCGCCGAACCACTGCCGTAGATCGTGGGAATTCGGGGAGAGGTTCCTTTATCCGTCTTATGTGTGATGCTTCTTAGTCGTCTACTGTATCTTTTCTCTTGGTTTGCGTGTGTATACATAGAACGCGAACCCCGCCGAATTGGGCTAAATATTAGGTTTTCTTTGTAAGTAATAACTGTTGCTCAAAACTGAATCGAGCGCTACTTCAATCGTGAACGCGAAAGTACCTTGTGTTGCAAATGGTAGGGTCATGTGACGAGTCCAGGTGTGGCAGGGTTTACTAACGTTTTCCCAGTTCTAGGTCATGTCATTCGTAACAGTATCTTTCCTTCACTTGGAAAAGTAATTGTTCATTTATAGGAGCTTAACTGTCGTATGTTGGAAGACAAGTTGGAGTTGACCAAGCACGAAGATTTTATGCGCCTCGAAGCTTACAAGGCTATGGTAAAACTGTACAGGGATTGGGGATTAATCCCTGAGGATGACGGTCAGAAGATTGCAGTTTTTAAACATTTCATGGAATTAAGTTCTTTGACCTTCTTCAGCTTTCTGGAAAGAATTCGATATTCTACGATCCCTCCCATCTGATCCTGTCGTTAACGAAGGAATTGACCTGTTTGCTGACATAGATAACTCGTCAGCTGATTCTCGTGAAGAGAACGACTGTTGGATTCCACCGTCGTGGCTAGTGGCACCTTCATCTCCACCGTCACCACTGAATAAAAGAGGTAGACATGCAGAAACGAATGATCATGCAGAAGTTGTATGTAGAGCAAGGGGGAGGAGGGGAGGGGAGGGGAGG